CCATCCAAACAGACCTTCTCAGGAGATGGCTCCTGCAATCAGCCCAGATTTCGTACAGCTAGAGCAACAGCCACAGCAGGCCATCCCCCATGCCTGAGAGACCCCATATCTTTGTGCATAGGAACTTCCTCCTCATAGCTAAGCATACATACACATGCATGTACACTCACACACACACACAAACGGAACTTTTCCTTTTGTTCCAGAAACTCACCTCCTCAAGAAGATTGAACTTCAAGCTGGGTAATCCTGGACCGAAGGCTGAGTCGCCGTGCAACTTGGGTGTCTGCACTGGTTCATCTGACGGGCTTCCCCAAGGCTCCTCCCTTTTATAGGGACTGGGGTCAGTGATGTAATTAAAGATGTGATTGGATAAAATAAACCTGATGAAGGACCCTCCATCTCTACTACCTGGTTCGTAATCCCCTTGGCCTGGGGCAAGAGGCCATTCATCAAACACACTCACATTTCTGCCGTGAAATCGAACATTCTCACCAAGGGGAACGCAAAGATTAGCATTAGTCTCACAGGAGTTCTGGCCAGGTTTTGTCATAAGTGAATCTCATAAAAACTTCCTAATTTTCGAAGATTCGGGGACTGTGAGTGTAGACGCCGGTTCATGTTCTCTCCTCCCGCGTCAGTCCCAGGCTCGTGAGTCGGAGGCGCCCCAGGACCCCAGAGGAGGGGCCCCAAGTCCAGCAGACAGACCGCAGGGCCTGAGACGAGGGTCCTTACATCGGGAAGGGGGAGCTCAGTGCTCCTCCTACGGGGAGAAACACACGGTGTTGGTGGACTTGCGAGGGCGGCGTCCCAGGGCTGCGAGGCTCCGGGTCCGGACACCTGGGGGAGGGGCCTCCAGCGCTCACTGCGGGGAAACCAGCACTTCCGCTTCCTGTTTCCTGCCGCTCCGCGCGGAGGGGGACTCACGACGGAAGGGACTTGGGCCGCGGTCCAAACGCGGTCTGTCGGGCCTCTGCGGCCGAGTCACATCCAGAATCAAACGCCCTCCCCTCCCCCGGAGTCCTGAGGTCAGCTCCTGCCTGGCCGCCACCCCCCTGCCTGTCTGCGGGCCGTTCTCAAAGCAGCCATCACAGGGACCCCGTCGGAACTGAGGCCGACCGCGTCCCTTCTCTGCCCGGAGCTCCCCAGGCTTCGCGCGTCACTCGGCCCAGTTCAGTGTCACGAGGACACGGAGCCCCGGGTTGGGGATGCCCCGCATCGGCCAAGATGGCGGCGGGGGGAGGGCCCTACACAGAGCCCAGCAGCTAGGAAGGTCATTGGGTAGGGCCCTGAGCGCCCCAACAGCGAGGAAGGTCATTGGGTAGGGCCCTGAGCGCCCCAACAGCGAGGAAGGTCATTGGGTAGGGCCCTGAGCTCCCCAAAAGCTAGGAAGGTGAGCGGCTAGAGTAAAAGCCCTCTGGGGGGATGAGGGTGGGCCTGGGCCCTTGGGGCGGGTTTTTATCTAACCCTGAGTAGGGCGTAGGAGGTGCTTTGGCTCCCCGCCTGCTGTTTCTCTTGTGCTTTCAGGTGGCGGAAAAGCCTCGCCGACCGCATTCCCCCGTCGAGTTTAAGCAGTGGGCGCCTGGCTGTCCCATGCCCCAGGGAGCCTGCGCTGGGCCCCGGGGGCCGAGGTCCCCCTGCGCGTCCCAGGAGGTGCCCGTTGCCTCCGCCGAGTCGGGTCCTGTCAGCTGCCGGTTTCTGGGGTTGTTGGGGAGCCAAGTGCGAGGCTCTTGACGCTGGGAGAGAAACGATGTGGTCCCGCTCTAACCACTGAGCCACTCTGACCAGGGCACTTTTTGGCAGACAGATGAATGGGATCTGGAGGGTCATCTGACAGTTTTCACCCCAGTGTTGGTTGTTTTTTCAATCCTCACCAGAGACTTTCTTCCATTGCTTTCCAGAGAGTGGAAGGGACAGAAACATTGATGTGTGAGAGACATATAGGTTGGTTGCCTCTCATACTCGCCCTGACCGGGGATGGGGATGGAGTCTGCAACTGAGGTGCATGCCCTTGGCAGCAATCAAACCTGGGACTCTTCAGTCCATGGGCCAGTGCTCTAACCGCTGAACAAAACTGGCCAGGGCTCACTTGAATTTTGATAATTTGTTCTAATCTGTCAGCTTGGGAATTAAATTGGGCCCAAACTTTAGTGTGGGCAAAGACATGAATGACTTTGATTAGTCTCTTTGGGGTAAAGTTATTCACCCTAAACGGTGCAGTCTTGAAAGAGAAACTGTTCTTGCCATTGCATGCACCAGAGAATTAGAGTTGGCCATAGTATAGGAATCTGTGAAAAGTGTCACTTCCTAATCATGTCACTTTTATTATCAGCTGTGTTCTAGAGGTTATTTACAGCTACTGGATTAGTATGGTGAAAAAAAAATGGTGTGTCTCTGGCAACCCTTCCCAACTCCACGTTCAGTGACATAAAGTTGGCAGTTTGAAATTGGCCATAATGGAAGTATTTACACCAGGGAAATTGGAAAACACTACAAACCAGAATTTAATGAATTATATTACTGAAAGTGTAAGCTTAGGAGCATGATAGTGAATAACTGAATACAGATTAAATTTAAAAGTGCATGGTGTATATGTTCATTACATTGTGCATAGCACACACAAAAAGTGAGGAAAATGAGCTGTTTGTTAATGAAAAGGGAAGTAGCCACAGTTCATTTAAAATAAATAAATAAGCAAAAGATATGACAACATTTTACCAAAGATACAGATGGCAAATAAATATATGGGGGGTGGGGGGAAATAGCTCAGGATCAAGAATTCTTAGGAAAATGCTATTAAAACTATTGCTTGCTTATTAAAAGAATAAATTCAAATGACTGACAATATCAATCATTGGCAAGTATGTGGAAGAACTGGAACTTTCATACACTCCTGGTGGGTACACAAAAGTGAACAGACTTTACAGATCACAATTTAGCAATTTCTTAACTTAAACATTCACCTATCCTGTGACTCAAGACATTACACTGAGTTACTAACACACGAGAAGTGAAACATACATACATATAAAGTATTATATACAAATATTCTAGCAGCTTTATTTGCAATAGTCAAAACTGGAAGTAACCCAAATTGCCCAAAACCAGATGAATGGATAAACAAATGGTGGGTCTAGCCATCAAAAAGATACTACTCAGCAATAAAAAGAATGAACTACTCATATAAGTATCATTGAAGAATTTCAAAATAAAAACTATGAGTGAAACCTGGAAAAATAAGCTTTTTATAAATCAAATCATATACAATTCTAGAAAATACAAACTAATCTATTATAAATAAAGGTACATCAATGGTTGCCTAGAGGCCTGGGGAGGGCAAGGGCAGATTATAAAACAGCATGAGGTAAATTAGGAATGATGGACATTTCATGATTATAATGAAGTTTCATGGGTTCACATGTGTCAAAATTGAACAAATTGTGCATTTCAGATAGGTGCAGTATATTGCATGTCAACTATACCTGCATAAAGCTTTTTAAACTGGTTCAGAAGACTAATCTAGATCTCTCTTTCAGAAAATCGGGTTTGGCATCATATATTTCCTCTTTCCTGACAACCTTGGAGAAGCCTTCCCTGTCGTAGTAAATATTGATAAGCAATGAAGTCTGTTTCCACCTAAGTCAACAGAAATGTTGGCTAGGTCACAGAGCCATATCACTGGACTAAGGGATTTCATTTCAACCTATGTTCATTTTTCTGCCTGTGTAGGAATGGCATGCCAGTGAACATCCCAAAAAGGCTAAAGGAATCCACAAAATCAATACCTTATTTTCTTTGAAAATGACCTCAGCTATAAAAGACATACACGCCTGGAGGTCCTGAGAATTTCTGTGCACACTGACCCTTCACAGTCACAGTGACAGTTACTGGGACATTTTTTATACAATTTTAGCAGGGGCATAGTCCATCTACTTTGCTGCAGTCACCTCCACTTGTGTTACTGTACCAATTATGGTTCTCCCATGGCCCTGTAGTCTTATAACACTAGCCTAGTGAATTCTGGGTATCAGGATACATGACTCTTTTTTAGTACCTGGGGTAGAGATTCCCCTCAACACTGCTGAGCATTATGTGGTATCCACTGTGAACAAGAAAAACAATTTATGTTGTTCCCAGAAGCACTTGAGGTTGTCACAACTCCCTGACTCTTCAGGGTGTTCCCCAAACCCACCAAAAAACCTTGATACCCAATCCACAAATGAGGACCACAAAGCCCTGAAGTCTTCCCTAGAAGACTTTGGGCAAAAATGTATAGAGAGGCATATTCTTCTGTCATTCTGTCATCTCTGAGGTGCACAGAGCTTTGGACCCCCATGAAAGTTGTTTTACTCCTTAATTCTCACAGAGCCAAACTGTTTTCACATCAGCTCACATGGTGAATACAACCCCAAGATCAAAGGCAGTTTAAATAATAATGCCTTTATTTTTGCCAAATCCAAAGCAATGTGTGGCAGGCAGTTCCCAGGCTGGTGACTTGGAAGCTGGGGAAATCCAAAGTAAGTGTCACAAGATATTAACAAGTCCTTAGAAATAGAGCCCTCTTGACAAGTCACCAACAGAACTCAGATCAGGTCCAGTAGGCCAAAACCAAGTGAGGTCCATGCCCTAACTTATAACAAGGGAATGAGGACCCCAGAAGGGCTAAGACTACACAGGATTGCCTCCAGAAAATGGGGAGTGCACAGAGGAGCTTCCATGAGCTGGTTAAGGTGGGAACTGACACACACTGCATGGACCTGCCAGGTGACAGAGGTAAAATGAATTCTACCATAGAAACTGGCAGTGACATCTATCTAGCAAGAGCCCTGGGCAGGTTAGAAAGTATAACACAGCTCCTTAAAGATTCCTATACCTGGAACTTAAGAAGAATCTCTCTACTGTAGATTTTCCGATATATGGGCTTTGATTCAGGTAAATGGCTCCCTCGCAAGTTCTCTCAAGTATAATTATACTAAAAGGAAATTGTGCATCCCCTGTACATCTAAGGTCTTTCTCCAGTGTGAACTCTCTGGTGTTGAATGAGGTCAGATTTGCAACTAAAGGATTTGCCACATTCACTGCACTCGTAAGGCTTTTTTCCAGTGTGAACTCTCTGGTGTTGAATGAGGCTTGAGCTTTGGCTAAAAGATTTGCCACATTCTCCACATTCATAAGGCCTTTCTCCGGTGTGAACTCTCAGGTGTTTAACGAGATTAGATTTGCAGCTAAAGGATTTTCCACATTCAGGGCACTCAATAGGCCTTTCTCCAGTGTGAACTCTCCAGTGGTTCTTGAGATTGGAGCTATGGCTAAAGGATTTTCCACATTCCCCACACTCATGAGGCCTTTCTCCCGTGTGTACTTTCCGATGTGAACTGAAGCTAGAGCTTTGCTTGAAGGATTTCCCACATTTATTGCACTGATAAGGCCTTTCTCCAGTGTGTAGTCTTTTGTGATGAATGAGGCTGGAGCTTCGGCTAAATGATTTCCCACATTCACTGCACTGATGAGGCCTTTCTCCAGTGTGAACTCTCCGGTGGTTAATAAGGCTGAAGTTTTGGCTAAAGGATTTCCCACATTCACTACATTGATAAGGCCTTTCTCCAGTATGAATTCTCTGATGTTGAATGAGATTGGACCTTTGGCTAAAAGATTTTCCACATTCCCTACACTCATAGGGCTTTTCTCCAGTGTGAACTTTCCTATGGCTATTGAGGCTGTAGCTTTGGCTAAAGGATTTTCCACATTCGTTGCACTCATAAGGCCTTTCCCCAGTGTGAACTCTCTGATGTATAATGAAGCTGGAGTAGTAGGTAAAGAATTTTCCACATTCACTGCATTCAAAAGGCCTTTCTTCGGTGTGAACTTTCTGGTGCTGAATGAGATTACATCTTCGGGTGCAGGCTTTTCCACATTTGCTGCATTCATAAAGCCCTTCTCGAGTGAGGACTCTCTGGCCCTGAGCAAGTATGTCTGTGCAGCTAAGGGCTTTCTTGCATTGTCCCCAGTTGTGAAGACTTTTTCCACTATGAAAGACAGCCCTGCACTCATTATTGTTGTTTAGCTTCTCTCCAATGTGAGTGACCTGTTGATGGAGAAATTGCAGGCTAGCTAAAAAGTCCTCCCCTATCTCCCCACAGGTAAAGGGCTTCCCTGACACATGGACTGTGCAGCTCTTTGTAAGTGAGGCTCTGTCCACAGACTTTCTGAAGGGGATCTCTCTAATGTGCTGCTCCTGGTGCCGTTGAAGGTTGGCCATAAAGAACAGTTTCTCACATGTGTATGTTTTCTGCCCAAGATATGTTCCCTGATGCTCAACCAAGTGCAAAATGTCTGTCAAGATTGGTCCACACATCTCAAAAGGCTGGGCCTTGCGGGGAGGTGAACCTGCCTTAAGAGTTCTGATATGTGATGCTCCTTCTAAAGAAATGCATTGTTCAGAAGGTGCATAGTCACGTTCCACTCCACTCCAATAACCTGAAAGCAAAAAAGTGATGGTGAAGTACATGTTGACTTTATAGGGAGGGGGCAAAACCATCACACATGTACATCTGACACATTAAAGAAACAGTCCATAGGGCTGTTTTCAGGAACAGATAGTTGGGGTCAGATTGAAGCAGCTCTCTACTGGGTTCCTAAGGTCACAGAATTGGGCAGGCCTTATCAGGCACAGGACATACGGAAAGGGTCTGGCCTAGGGATGAAAGGCATGTTCTTCAAGTCATCCTTCTGTCCATGGCTTTTGGCAGGATTCTATCTGCTGGTGACATATGATGCTATGCAGAAATCTATGTCTAGACTCAGGACAATCTGAATAGAACAAAGTAACTGGTGTTCAAGGATTATTAAAAGGTATGTGCACAATTTAGGACACAATACTGGAAAGCACCATGGAGGGAATAATGTAAGGACTGAGTGAAATAAGAAATCCTGAGGGTGGAGATTAGCCCCAGGCTGGACAGAGAATAAAAACAAGAAATGACAAGTCATCACAGAGTCAAGATTGGACAAGGGAAGGGAGAAATAAGGTGGCCACTAGTAATGAAATGGCACCAAAACGTAAATCAAACAGGATAAGTTCTTGGCATGATGTGAATGAAGCCCTCACATCACATCCTCCAATTTCCACTCACCTGGGTCAGGCCCCGTCTGAGCTACTCTTGTTAAGACTGGGGTCATGTCCATGCTGTGAAGCACAGAGGACTCTTCCCTTAGCTCCAACTGAGCAACTGCATGGGACCTGGATGATCTGAACCCTAAGGGACAGATAGGACAGATTAGTGGCCAATACTGGCCCAAAACAACTCAGCACTCAACAGATCGCAGGAAAGATATTTAAATACTAAAGAAAATACTTTTGAGAGCAGCTAGAGGGATGGCATAGTAGTAAACACTAGGAATCTGTCTCCGTACTCAGACAACTGCCCTCTCAGAATCAATCTGACCATAACTATTTTGCAACTCTAGAACCTACAGAAGGCTTGTAACATGCCAAACTGATTTAATTTCCGTCAATTTCAGCTTTTAGCATGGTATCAGTTATCCATCCCCCAACTCTCCCAATTCCTCTCTCTGAGCCCAGGGGTAGGCAGCCATGCACATATAACTGCAACAGCTTGCATAAGCCAGGATACCTGTCCTCAGGAATCTGTGATGACTTCTGCTTTTGATGGTGGAGGTATAATAGAGAGGTGGGCAGCCATTGTTACCAAGGCCCTACATCACTGGCTGAAGCAACTTTTCAAGAGGTTTAAAGGGCAGGCATCTATTCCCTCCACCTGCTTTTCTTTCATTTTTCTCATTCCCCCATTGGAAGGCAGAATTTAAAGGACCATGACATTCAAAATCAATCCATACATGGGGAAGTTTAGAAAATCACCACACATGCCCACGGGAAAATACAGTCTCAGAAAAAAACCTGAGAAGACCTTAACATTACCCCTCAAACTGATCTCTAGCACAGAGATGACCTACAAGCATTAAAAAAAAAAAAAAATCAACACCCGCCCCAGCAAATCCTAGGTAGGAGGGGATCAGATTTCTTGAGTTGCCACATCTTAAAACACAAATGTCCAGTTTTCAACAACAACAACAAAAAGTTAAAGAACATATAAAGCAACAGGAAAGTAAGAGAAAAAATCCAAGAGAAAAAAAAAATCAAGAGAAACTGGCCTTGAGAAAGACCAGCTGTTACACTTCTTAGACAAAGACTTTAAAACAGCTGTCTAAAAGATGTTCAAAGGACTAAAAGAAAATGAAAACAAAGTCAAGAAATGTTGCATGAGCAAAATGGAAATATCAATAAAGAGATAGGAAACATAAGAAAGAATTAAGAAAAAAAGTTGGAACTAAAATGTACAATAACTAAATGATAAAAATCACTAGAGGGATTCAAAAGCAGGTTTGAGCCAGGCAGAAAAACAGTCAGTAAACTTGAAGATATTAAATATGAGGAACAGAAAAAAAAAATTGCACAAAAGTGAAAAGAGCACAAGGACCTGTGGGATACCATTAGGCAGACCAACATATGCAATGTGGGAAGAGGAGTCTGGAAGAAGGACACAAAAGGGCAGAGAGCATATCTGAAGAAATCACAGCTGAAAACTTGCCAGATCTGGGTCTGTGGATGCAGGATTGTTATGGTTGCACAACAATGAGAATCTACAAAATGCTACTTAGAAACGGTATTTTTGGCCCGTCAGTATGGCTCAGCAGTTGAGCATTGACCTAGGATCCAGGAGACTGAGGTTCCATTCGATTCCTGGTCAGGGGACATGCCCAGGTTGCGGGCTCAATCCCCAGTTAGGGGCGTGCAGGAGGCAGCCAATCAATGATGACTCTCTCATCATTGATGTTTCTCTTTCTCTCTCTCTCTCTCTCTTCCTCTCTCTTAAAGCAACACTTTTCTTTTTTTTAATGGTATTTTTGTTATGTATATTTTACAATTTTTTTTTTTTTAAAAAGAAAGAAAAGGAAACTTGGCGGAGGATCTTGCAAGAACAGTCTATGAAAGTAGTAACCGTGTAAGTGGCTAAAACTCCTGGCACAGTCAGGCACAAATAAATGTCAGGTACCGGCAGGGAGCGATACTAGGGTGCCGTGGATCCACACAGCAGGGGAGAGGGCAAGAGAGGCGGATCCACTCCGCCGATTCAAGGCTGCCTCCGTGAATCCTCCCCGGGAGGCTTCGGGAAGGGGGGTGGCGTGCACTCAGCCTCGCCCTAGCAACCACTGCCCACACCGGGAAGCGGGAAGGAAGCCGTGCCCAGGACTCAGCTGGGAGACAAAGCTGCCCCTGCGGGAGACAAGGGCGGGCCCTCGCGCGGGTGTGGGCCTCCGAGCTTACCCAGCGAGGACGTAAGAGCCAAGTTCTCCAGCATCACGTCGCGGTAGAGGCCTCTCTGCGCCTCATCCAGCAGCTCCCACTCCTCCCGGGAGAAGTACAGGGCCACGTCCTCAAAGGTCACGCGTGCCTGCAGGACAGAGACGCGTGAGACCCCGCACCGGCGGCCTCCCGGGCCCGCAGCCCACCTCCCCGCACGCCTCCCGCGTCCTCACACCCCCAAGTCAGGAGCTACGCGGCCCTGCTGCCCCGCGCGTCGTCTCTCCGCTCACGGGCCCTTACTCGCCGCCTTCCCCGTGTCCTTGGCCCAGGCGGGGCCTCGCCACCCTCCAGCCAGTTCCCGCGCCGAGCGGGCTCTGGGGCGTTTCAAACGCTGTCACATCAGGCGCCGTCTCCCCTCAGCGTTCCGCCGGCCCAGGCCCCTCGGAAGCGCGGAAGCGCGCCTCAGGCAGCCGCAGTTTCCCGCGGCG